CATATCTTACATATAAAATGACTAATCCATTTACTGTATGTTGATATGAATTCATTTAAAATTAATGGGTCAATTCTTTCAAGTGAAGAAAAGAAACCAAAACAACATTCTCTTAAATACAGTGTTGAAGCTGAAAAAAAGTTCCCTAAAATTCGTATTTCTCAAAAAGATTATAACCAGTTTAAAAGATATCCAAGAAAGATTACACTGTAAATCTTTTGGTCAAGTAGTTATTCGTTTACTTAATTGTTATAAACAACAAATATCTACAATTGAAAATCAATTATATGTACAACAACATTAATAATTTTTTGTAATTTATTTCTCTTCTTCTTCTTTTTAATGTCTTTTTAATAAATCTGCAAAAAGATATTTGTTTTCTATTTTTAATTCATTTATACTATTTTTTGTTTTTCTATTATATTTTCATAATTTAGTGTTTTTAATTTATATCTCATTCTTTTATTTACTGTATTTTTAACCATTTGTAAAGTACACTTTCTATCGATATACACAAAAGATTATATGATAGAAATTATTATTAAAATACCAATGATGAACTAAAATACTAGAACCATTAATAAATTGTTTTTATTTATTAATCGTATATTAGTTAAGGTAATAACAAAAATTTAAATACTAAAAATAGTTTTGCCTATAAAAAGTGTATAAGCAAAGACTAATTTTTTTTATTTCAACAGTATTAAATCAGTTGTTCTATTTCTCATTTATTTTGTATTACTAAGAGTGATAGAGTTATAACATAATAAAAAATATACTAATTAATAACTACTCATTTTGTAGAAGAATATATGTTATTTTATTATCTAAATATCAAAGATAATGTGATGTACTATTGGTACTGTAATTTCTTGCTATAGAAATAATGAATTAAGTTACTTTCATAAGGTATATATAATTTAATAGAAACTAATATAAAACAGAGAAATAACATATTTAGAAATGATTAATATGATATTATTAAATAACTTAATAATCAAAAGTCAAAAGAAGATTAAATCAGTAGATTAGGTTTTAATAAGATAATACCCCCAAAAAAAATAATTACTAAAAACAAATTTGAAAATTAAATACTCTTTAATTTCATTAACTTTAGTACAGATTAAACTATTTAAATTTTAACTCCCATATAATAAAACGAAAATAATGAGGAATATATATAAAGAATAAAAAGAGTTTCATTTTTTGATATTATAAAATGAAATAATTAACGTCTCTAATAATAGTTCATCAATTGACTTAAAATTTAAAAAAAAAACTTAAAGATACAAATTGTTTCATTGGTTTTAATCTTTTCAAAAAAAACTTATAAATACCATTTGTTTCATGACAACTCTTGACATTTACTCTCTTCAAATTGTCAGTCAATACTTAACAAGTAAATATGATTTTATAAATATTATTCAGACTACTAAAAAATATATGTTTATTCTAGATAGATTTAGAATAAACCCAATTAGAATTACATCATTTGTAAAGAACTTATTTCAGTTTTTAGATACTCAAATTGTTTATTATGAAAATGATTACATTGTACACAGAGTTGTTAAATTAATCATTCAATATCCTGTCTCTTATACAGAGATAGCTGAAATAACAAAACGGTATAAAGATGTAACTTGTATATTCAAGAACGTAATCTTAGAATCTCTTAATGGTTGTGACAAAAAAATAATTCCTAAGGAAGTTAATATTCTTGGAGATAGCTGTTTTGAAGGAAAAGAGCTTAAAGCAATGGTAATACCAAATACAATAAAAGAGATTAGAGAGTCTTGTTTTGATGAATGTAGATTTAAGTGGATAAAGATTCCAATTTCTGTTACAAGAATAAAACCATTAGCTTTTTCAAATTGTAGGTCATTAACAAAAGTTGAATTACCTTCATTTCTTAGTTCAATTGAAGATAGTGTATTTAAAAATTGTGTTAAATTAAAAGAAATTAATATTCCTAAGTCAGTTACTTCTCTTGGATATGGATGTTTTTCTGAAAGTGGTATTAGAAGGTTTGAGATTACTTCACAATTTCAATTTATTGGTGGAAGTATTTTTTGTATGTCTTTATTAAGAAAAGTATCATTTACTGGTGTGAAACAAATTCCTAGTGGAATATGTAGTGGATGTAATCATCTTACTAATGTTATGATGGATGATACAGTAGAATTTATTTTTGATTATGCTTTTGAACAATGTACTGAACTTAAAAATATTAATTTTTCATCTAATTTAAAATTTATAGGAAGTTATGCATTTGTTGGATGTGCATTTAATAAAGTTATTCTTCCAAATAATTTAGAAATTTTAGGTGATTCATGTCTTGCAGATTGTAGAAATTTAACTGAACTACGAGTATTATCAAAACAATGTATCATTGGAGAAGGAGTCTTTTTTGCAGACCATAGATTAAAAATAATTGAACTTCCATTAAAAGATGGTAAATATCCATTTGCAGTAACTAAAGAAGAAAAGAAATTACTTAAAAGAAATGGAATAGAATGTATTAATATTTTAACTGATCAAAATTATGTTGAACCAATTGAATTATTAAATACAAATAAACAAATTAGAAATATTCAAGAATTTGGAAAATTTCTGTCAACATCTATTTGTATTCTTAATTCTGCAAATAGAATTGATAGTAATCTATTGAATTCACATTATTGTGAAGAATTAATTCTTCCAAAATCAATTATTCAAATTAATGGTTATATACCAACACCAAATCTTACTAAAATTGTATTACCAGAATGTATTGAAGTTTTACATCAAGAACAAATTGGTTATTTAAAAGGTCTTAAAATTATTGAAATTCCTAATTCTGTTACTAGAATAGAAAAATGGTGTTTTAATACATTAGATCAATTAGAATCATTACAAATTCCTTCTTCCGTTAAAATACTTAAAAAAGAATTTATTATCGATTGTCCTTCATTAACTGAATTGAATTGGAACAATAAAGAACCTATTATGAAAGAACCATTTAATTATTTAATATATACTCAACTAAAAAAATCTAATATTCATTTCACAAAATTTACTTTAAATGGATTAGATGGAATTGATCCACTTCATTTCACTATTACTGAACCTATTGTATTTCAACAAAATGATTTTAATGAACAAATTTCAAAATTTAAAATATTACCAAATAATCTAATAGAAATTAATGGATCAAATAGAATAGATGAAACATTAACTTCAATTACAATCCCTTCTTCTGTTTCTTCAATAGGTAATTCAGCTTTTGTTGATTTTATAAATTTGAAGGAAATACATTTCCCTGAAAATGAAATAGAGTTTGATGATTGTATGTTCAAAGGATGTACTTCACTTAGTGTTATCAAATCAAAAAACCCAAAAAATCTTCAAATAAATTTTCACACTGAAATTATAAATATATTAAAAGGTTTTGGATATAATTTTCAATACAACAAAAGGGTTATTAAAAATTATCATCCATCTAATTATTATAAAGAAGACTATTCAATACAAAACTTTTGTCTAACTAATGTACAATCAATTGACAATGAAGCTTTTTTTTATTTCACTTCTATTACTCATATATCTTTTTCTACTAAATTGATATCAATTGGAGACGCTGCTTTTAGACAATGCTCTATACTAAAAACTATTCAGATCCCTTCAACAGTAACATTTATTGGAGAGTCATGTTTTGAACGTTGTTCATCTTTATCCACAATAAAAATTGAAAATCCTTTTGTTGATTGTGGAAACTATTGTTTTAATCATTGTATTGGATTAACTTCAATCCCATTAATATATAAGCTCAGTGTTGGTCTCTTTGAATATTGTGAATCGCTTCAATACATTTCATTGTTGGATGGTGTTAAAGAACTTTCTCCTGGTTGTTTTAGTCATTGTATTTCTCTTAAAGACATCTCAATTCCACAAAGCGTCACAGCAATAAGAAGGTATTGTTTTAGAGAATGTTTTTCTCTCACATCCATTGACATTCCATCAGAAATAAAGTTGATTGAATTAGGTACGTTTTATGACTGTAAAAATCTGAGAAAAGTTATAATGAAAAATGAGCACATTGAACTCGGAGATCATTTGTTTGATGGCTGTACTTCACTTAACACTATTTCAATTAATGGTTCTACTATCAAATTATTTGACATAGAAACATCTTATTCACAATACAAATACTTTCACTTAAAAGGAATAAACTGTAAAAGAGTGTCATTAAGTAGAAGAGAAAGAATTGAAAATGGGTTTATTGTCATGACAAATAAAAATATAGTTAGTATTGACGAATGTTGTTTTGGTGGGTGTACTGAATTTACTAGACTTACTATTCCAAATAATATCACTAAAATAGGACCATTTTGTTTTAAAGATTGTATCAATCTTCAATCCATTGTAATTCCATCTTCAATAACCTCAATACCACCATATTGTTTTGATAATTGCACTAATCTGACTTCAATTGACATCCCCTCTACAATTAAAAATTTTGGTGATAAATGTTTCACTGGATGTGTATTATTAAAAAATGAAAAAATACCTAACGAATGTTTTAAAACAGTTAACATTGAAGATATTGAAGAAAATAACA